AAGTGAGTGTTTGGTCTATCGTCTAGTGAAATTTAACCCACAGACAAAGGATGCAGATTCACACCAAAGCTATCCAAACAACTACTTGGGTCCCCACATATCAGAAACCAGACAACCACGTTCCTCAGTCTGACCAACCTCAGGTCGGTTTCCATGACAGCACGGTCAGACTAAGGATCGTGTCAGTATTTTGTGTCTGAATACACACAAAACCAGTCTGTTCTACACTACTTCAGACAATTACCACAGGCGGTAACAATAATAACACATTTCTAAACACGGATACCTGACTTCCCACACATGACACACATACACACTTCCTTTTTAGTTTGTTCCTCAATGCTTTCTTTGGGTGGTGTAGCCTTGTGGTTAAAGCTCTGGGGTGCTTTAAGGTGAAAGTTTGCAGGTTTGAACCCCAAAACTATCACCCCTAGTTCAAGATCCAACAATCACTCCACATTATAGCCTATAGATATATTTCATAGCATTTCTTACTCTTCCAAGCCAAGTTCATTGATGTTATCTCCCAAGTTTTGGCTGAAATATTCAAAGCGTTTCCAGCCATCCTCAGTTTTGATCCAGCTCCAGCCTGGTGATCTCCAGTCTTGGCCCAAGAAAGGCATCTTCTTCCACCTGCTCCAAAAACCTGAATACAAGAGACTCTTGTGAACTGATCTGACAACACACAATAACAGTCATTCAAAGCTTAAAAGACTTACTTCACAATCTTGATGTAAAACATTATCTTTGAAAAAACAAACATTATTATTTTTTTGAATTGCATTTAAACTCTGGCTTCTGTACCAACTAGCCTACGTTACTGTCAACAAATTTTCTCAAATACAAAGCCTGCCAAGAACCTTATCTTTCTAAACGTCGACAAAACACTAAAGACAGCTTAAATCTCTACCTCTATTGTTGTTCTAGGCGCAAAGTCATGTCTTTGCATCGATAACGAACGTATATTTAACTTTACTTACAGTGATTCCTTTGTTATGGGGATAATTTTCTGCTTTTCTTAGAATATTGACGGAAGTAAACAGTCAGAAAAGCGGAGTGTAAGACACGCCTCCCGTCGATTGTGATTGGCCATCGTATTTGTATTTATTGTGTTGCTACCCGGAATTCCCAAGATGATTGGTTCGTGACGCTGTCGATCACTCGCCGATTTATCCCGAGCGCTGTGTCTCTGCAGCTTCTTGCACGTGACACAGACGTTGCACATGTTGTCATGTTTTGATTTTGTAATGGGGGAAGGGAAATGGATAAAATGAGCGATGGAAAAGACTGACCAATCATGTTGGATAATATAACATCACAAAATAAACATTTCCACTGCTTGGTTTTGGATATAAGCAGCCTATAATAATATAGGCTAGGTTTATGCGTCAAAATCAAGTTAAAAATCAAATTATTAAAAGGGACAGCAGCTGGAAATAGTAAAAATGTTCATCAAGTCTGATTTGTAAGGTGTTTTTATTCCATTTTATTTGAAAAATTTTATATTTATTGTATTTTAATACTTATAGCCTACTGCATTTTTAGGCTATATATTGAATTTATATTCCATTTATTTACTTATGTAGCCTTAGGTTCTGGGAATGTTAGTTTTTGGTTCCCAGAACGTTCTTAGAACTTTCCTTTAAGGTTAAGGGAACGTTCCCGGAACATTCTCCTTACGTTATAAAAATGGAACCTAAAATAACCTACATGGAACGTTCCTATAACATTCTTGTTCGGTTCCCAAAAAATAACCTTATGGGAGCATCATTAGGGGAACGGTCTGTGTTTGCTGGGCTATTTGTTTAAGTTTCATTTACCTTGAAGGCTGACCCAAAAATCACAGTATGGCTATAGTCAAAATTTGAAGGGGATCAAAAACAGGTAGGCTTTTGTTCAAAATTCATGTAACTTTGATGAAAGGTTTTGATCCAGGTTTTCAACACCTGACACATAGAAATAAACTTGTCCTAAGAACACATAGCAAATAGAACCTGCCTTCATTATACTGTACACTTGTCAATGTGCTTTCTTGGTGTTCCCGTTTTTGCTCTATTACCAACCAATTACAGTATTGGATATGTCTTTATGTTTATGTGGCGGACAGAATTCAAAACAATGTCCCAACAAGATTTTGCAGCATAGAAAATGACTGCTGCGGACAACAACCATTTATGGTAATAGAGGTTATGGTAATAAAGCCCTTTCTGATAGCCTTGTGACATGTGACTCATATTTGTGCCAGGTAAAAACCTAACCTAGATGAAAGTCCAAACTGAGCTGAGAAATCTTGCCATTAGAAAAGTTACAGTTCATCCATGCTGCATAAAAGTAACTTATTTGTGTGTAGGTGTATTACCAATGAAGAATGGTATCATTTTTAACTGTAAGGCTGACTCATGAATCATTTGAACAGAAAGAACGGCTAAATTGCAACACTCTTTGAAGAGTATTTCGTAATTCATAATTATCTCAACAGAGACAAATTCCAAAAACTCATAGGACAGTCATATCTTTGTTTTTGATACGGTTTTCAGACAAACTTGTCAGTTTGGATTACAGTTGAATGAGTGAGCTTAAACAGTTGCATGGTCAAAAATTACAGCTTTTCCAAAATCATTTAAAGTAGTGTAAAGGCCACAAACACTCCCTCTGCAAGATTTAACCTGCCCATGGTCTGCTTTAGGAGGCCAGAGGGCTACGTTTGTGTGTGCATGCGAAAACACTGCATTTTTCAAACGTTCAGTCATGTGCAAAATGATGAAAAAAGGTTCAGTTATATAGTTAACATAAAATGCGTTTTAAAGTTTTTTTAATCATTATAAATATGCATTTATGATTATTGAATTACTATAGACCTGCATTATCTAAACTATAACTTATCCAAAAGTAAACTGCACTTTTAGATAACAGTGCTGGAAAAGTAAGATTTTACTGACTGGTATTCATATTTACACAGCATTTTTACATAATTGTGTAAGGTTGTTTGACTCAACAGTGCACACACACCTTATCAAGTTACTTCAAACACAAAACTCTTTACACTATTTACAAGGCATTGTGGAGTCAGGGAAGACATGAGTAGACAGTCAAGGCAGGATAAACAGACACCTAATCTTTGAACTTGAGTGACAGTGCGTCACTAATTACACACACCCACATTGGATGTGAATGTACTTGCTTTTTGTCCATCCTTCCGCTGTTTCGCAACAGTGGACAAAACTGCTTGTTTGAAGCCATATCTTTCCATATCTCAGGTGCTCCTTCTGCATTCCTGATAGGCTTGTACCATGTCCCGTTTGACTTACACAACAATTTGTAAACTATGTGTGCAAAGGCGGTTTTCCACAGAATTCAACGAAAATAAACTGCAACACAAAACTTTTAATATATTATAAAATCAAGTGACATCAGTATAATTAACCAGGATCAAGTACTGGTATTTACAGTAAAAAGGTTTAGCATTTAAGAAATGTTCATGTCAATTGAAATTACACAGCTAACAAGCTGCTAACTAATGACTACAACTACAAAGTTGTGTAAATGCTTTACAAAACCGTTCTAGTCCTTATATAGCAATGTGTTAGCAACTTATGT